GGGGGGGGGGGGGGGGGGGGGGGGGGGGGGGGGGGGGGGGGGGGGGGGGGGGGGGGGGGGGGGGGGGCGGGAGAGGCAGAAGAGGAGAGGCGCGAGTCGGGGGGAGGGGGGTTAGAGGGAAGCTTGCTCTCCTGTAAGCAACAACAAGACTCGTTCAGCTCGACGAACAGGTGCGTGGGGGCTGTGGGTTACAGGCGAATGCTCCTGTCGGCCAAAAAAACATTCGCTCAGCTCGACCTACAGGCGCTGTACTGGCGAATACTACAACCATCAGTAGACTCACACGTATTCATCGGGAATGCTCGGAGCGAATCGCTGGGGCAACTTCAGCTCGGGCGGGGCGAGCAAGAGAACCTCGAGTACCCCCTTCAGGGCATCCAGCGCAGTGTCCGGGGCATCAAGCGCGCCTCCTTCCTGCGCTCGAGGACGGGGGGGGGTGTCATGTAAAGCGTAGAGAGACAGCAGAAGCGGGGGCCGCAACAGGGTCAAGGGCGGGCAGAGGACGCGCGGTGGAGGCTTTCATGACGGATGAAGCAAGCAACAGACCATGAGAAATATTTCATGGGTACTGTACGAAAGATAGATGATAAACAACTCGGCAGACGGGGAGGAAGACGCAGGAGCGGGGATTGCTCCAGCATCGAGTAGTGGAGGCGCAAGCTTGTCGTGTCAGCGTTACGTAGGTCTGCACCGATGCCGATGAATGACCTCCCTCTCCAAGTGGATCGAAACGCAGGTCCTGGTTCAACACAGCAGTCACGCGCACACCGCCCTTCTACGATGCTTGATCCTGCCGGAAGCTCTATACAAATACCACATGCCGACTGGAAACCGGGCAAAAAAAACGTGTCTGAACGGTTCGTCAAAGTGCGACGGGTACGGCGTACCACATGATCTTTGGGAGGAAACTGATCGGGTGCCCCATTCCCGTGCCTGGGCGCTCAACATCACACCCTTGGGGCTTGGACATATCCCCTTGCCTTCCCTGCTAGACGATGACTACACGCGGCAACCCTTCGCTGTCCCTACTTGCCGTGAACAATTAGATCGAAAAATAGGCGAGAGGGAAACCTGTGTTTAGTAAAACCTGCCTTGAGTGCCCTTGCGCGAGAGCGAAACAACTCGAACGCTCCCGGCGCAACGTTCCTCTTCAACTCCACCAGCACAGCCGCCAGCTCGCGCCTTCGGGAACTTCCCACCCCTGCCCTGCCACCGTCGCCGCCGGGACCGCCGCCGTCACCGCCGCCGCCGCTGTTGTCTGCCCTCCCACTACCTGCGCTTCTTGGTATAGGTCGGCGATCTTCGACACCCACACCCGGTCTCGGCCGTGGTTTGGACGAAACAGAAGAGCCTTCAGCACGCGCCACGCTGTTGTCAGCAGCAGCACCACCACCACCAGAGCCTCCCCCCCCCACGGTGCGTTGCCCGCCGAGCCCACAAAGCCGACCACCCTGCTTTTTCTGCTGCTGCTGCTGCTGCTGCTTGGTGGGCTTCACTCCTGTGGTACCCGGGGTTGCCGCCCCCGCCGCACCGCCGGAGGCCTTTCCCTCCACCGAAGCCGTGGCCAGCCGCTGAGACAACGGAACAGAGTCCCACCCACCTCCACTTCCTCGGGCTTCATCGGCTCTGCCGACACCACCGCCGCCATTCCCAGCCGCGGACCCACTCCCGCCTGCGCTACGTTCCGATGATGAAAACGCAGCCATCGTAGCGCTGCTACTATCCCCCCTCGTGCTGCTTTGGTCCGATACTACGGCGCCCCCGTCGGTGGACCTCCATGACGCCTTGAGCGCGTCGAGCAAGCCTAGAGGCGCAGCAGGCGTGCTGCCTCCGCCGCCGCCCCCCCCCTCGCGAACAACTCTCTGCCGCGTACCTCCCCCCGGATCCCCAACCACAGACTTCACAATGTCCCCGACGTCTTGCAGCGAAGATGAAGGCGGTAGCCCCCCCGGCCCCAACGCTGCCGCCGGCCTCGCCCGTGCGTACGAAGGAGAAGACGACGAAGACGATGGTGGCTGTGGACGACCGTGGCTGGGGGCCGCCGGCGTAGGCTTGCTAGCCCTGGGCGTGTCGACGTGCTTCAGTCTCGGGTTCGCCGCGCAGGCCTTGAAGAACTTGGTCAGGTCGGCGGCCACCTTGCCGAAGCCGCTGCACTCCCTCACGAACGGCCGGGCCCAGAGGGAGAGGCTCTTGCGGTTGCGGTCCTCGGCGAACCTCGAGTCGCAGAGCACCACGCAACCGTAGTCGAGCCGGTGCCGGATGACTCGACCGATGGCCTGGTTCACGGCTCGAGAGGCCTGCGTGCGTGCGTGTACGGTGTTGAGAAAAGGGGCATGCGGGCGAGATACATGGATATGTGGGCACGGGCAAGATGGTAGGATACAGTTTTGGTGGGGCTGGTTCCGCGACCCCTGCTACTGTAGTGTCAGGAGGGCATGTGGTCGCTGTTCAGGGCGGGCAGGTCGATGTTGCCGGTAGGTGTACTGTAGAGTAGGGGTGCAGCAGAAGTGCCACTTGCTTCTGTGGTCGCAATACAGGGCATGTGGCTGAACTTGGTCCACGACTACACGTACAAGGTTGTGGCTGGGGGGGGGCGGGATTGCTTTCCTCTCTCGACCGTGTGGAGTGCTATTTTTGGTTGTAGTAGCGACAAGTGTATGCTGCACGTCCGAGTCAAGTCTATTGCAGTGCGACCGACGCTCGGCGACGGCCATCTCCTTCCCACCTGCTGCTGGTACCACTCGTCGCCTGTCACTCTCGCAACACCTGGAGGCAGCAAGGACTCCGACATGTACTTCTTCTTCAGCACCACCTGCGAATTACGTTACACGTATGCAAGATTCGCAGGGAGGGCCGAAGATTCCCAGAAAAAAAGGTGAAAACCAAGACCAAAACCAAAAAGAAGGACATCCAATCAAGCGAAGGTTGGAGCGCCAAAAAGATCGGTCAGAACCGGCGATCACTCTCCCAGAACGTGTGTTGTTCATGGTTGGCGATTTTTCGCCCACTGTACGGTGGGAGATGTATCCACCGACACGAAGAAAACATCTCCCACCGCTGCCGCTGCTCCGCTTCCTGCTGCAGCTGCTGAAACTAGCAATTAATTTTCCCTCCTTGTTTCACGACAAAACATCCCTCACGTATCCGCGGCGATTGCATCATGGGGTCTCGAGCGATGTAACAAGATGGTACTACCACGCGGAGGAGAGCGCTGAGACCGGGCCAAAAGAATCGGAGGACGTTCTTCAAACGCGACGGGTGCTTTGTTAGTTTGCTCCCGCCCTCTTCTCCGCCGAAAGACAGGCCCGCCCTCCTTCATCAAGACAACAACCGAATACCTTGGGGTCCATTGCCGGCGCATAGGGGATGCCGGTCACCACGACGCAGCGCGCTCTGCCGTCCGAGAAGTCCATGCCCTCGCTTACCTTGCGTATCAAGATACGTCAACCGATCGATCAAGCAAAGCCGAACAAGAACCGCAGAAACGAACAGCCCAGCACCCTACAACCGGAACACACCGCGATGACTCCCCAAGACGTGGCAGGAACAATCCCTGGACACAGAAAAAAATAGTCGGAACAGCGCGAGCCTCTACACGCCACCAAGGTGTACCAAGCATGGGTCATAGCTAACGGGCCCGCATCCACTAGCGACCACACAGTCAAGAATCAAGCAGTGCGGACATGTCGGCTACTTGTATCGTATCGGGAACGAGCCAGAGAGGGGCACCGGCGCATGCGACGGCATGGCAGGAGAAGGGGGGAGGGGGGGGGATTCAAGAGGGCGGAGACTCCAGCCGATACGACCAACACCTCAAGGCTCGATAACTCACCAAGTACACCCACCTGCTCAACACCGTTTCCTTCAATAGGTAACCTATTTACCAGTCTGTTTGTTTACGAAATCCTCCTTACCTTGCCCCTACAAACCGCCAGAAACACGGCGCCCCCGGTGTTTTCGATCTTCGCGTCGTACTCCTCCATCACCGCCTACATGTACACCACATACAGCACAGTATGCAGTAAAGGGCGAAACGGAGGCTGTGGTGCGGGGAGGGGAAAGGCTCAACGACCATCCTATTTAGCAGGGTACGTGCCACACGCCGGAATACAGATAGCAGAGTATTAAAGGCCCTCAGTGGTTGACGCGATACAGTACAGTCTGAGAGGGATTCGTAACGGGNGGGGGGGGGGGGGGGGGGGGGGGGGGGGGGGGGGGGGGGGGGGGGGGGGGGGGGGGGGGGGGGGGGGGGCTAGGGTTTGAATTCCGATACCGCCAGAGCTGGGACGCATACGAACCAAGCTCGAGGTACCTCCGAGAAGAGTAGCGAGCAAAACAAGACGTCTTGTGAGAGAGCCGAAGCGCTTGAGAGAAAAACATCTTGTGAGAACGCCGAAGCACTTGAGAGCAAAACATACTGTGATGGAGCCCAGGTGCTTGAGAGCAAACATCTTGTTAGAAAACCGCAAGCACTTGAGAGCAAAACATCTCGTAAGAAGAGCGAAGCGCTTGCAAGTATGATGACGTTCGTTGGAGGTTGGAGGTTGGAGACGCTTTCACCGCGACTAGAATACGGCAAAGGCACTCAAGGCACATACTCCTCACTCCTTTGCGTGGAGATCAATCGGTGCGCACACCTCCGCCCGCCCAAAGTCAANAGCCACTGTAGGTATGCGAGGTCAGAGATCTAACGACTACAGCATGCGTTTATGTGAGTACCCCTGGACCAGTACGGACTTTAGAAGGTACTGAGTGGGGACACCGGAACGGTTTTTCAATATGAAGACAAAAACAACAACAACAACAACGTCAACAACAACAACAACCCCTCCCCTCCCCCGTGCCCCCCTCCAGCCCGACACAAGAACCTTGAGGTCTGCGGCGGTGCGAGGCTCTATCATGGGTTCCTTGTGCGCCATTATTCTGGCCCAGGCCTTGCCGTTGGAGAAGTGCTTCCACCGATGAACGCAGTCGTTCATCGTGCGATACCTTTAAAGTCGATCACGGGCGTCAGCGGGGGCGTAGCCATATAAGGATGAGTCAAGCGGTCCTTATCGTTCTGGAGGCGGAGTGCGGCTGATCCTACTCTCCACTCGTAATTGAGACGTGATAATCCTCTTGCAATCGAGACATGTTAATCGTACAATGCCTCTTGGGGGTGGGGGCTCACGTGTTGCCTCAGGCTTTGATAGCAAACTACTGGTACTAAGCAGGCTCTCTTATCACTCCGTACTTTGTATATTATCTCAGTCAAGCCCCCCCCCCCC